GTTATCCCAGGATCAAAAGAGTTTTGCATTCTGTAAAAACCATCACTGGGCTTCTGGTAGGTTTCAACTGAACCTGTCGGCTCTTCGGTCAACATTAGCATCTACAACAGTAGTTCTCAACTTTCCTAATGCTGCGACCCTTTCATATAGTTCAGTCATGTCGTGGTGACCCCAACCATAAAAATGGTTCTTTTTATTTTTATTTTCTTTTTTATCTTTTCTTTTTTTCTTTTTATTTATTTATTAAAGATTTCTGTCTCCTCCCCACCACCGCCTCCCATTTCCCTCCCCCTCCTCCCCGCCACTGCCTCCCACTTCCCTCCCCCTCCCCCCATAAAAATGTTTTATCGCTACTTCATAACTAGTTTTGCTACTGCTATGAATCATAATGTAAACATCTGGGTCACGACCCACAGGTTGAGAACCACTGACCTACACAACATTAAAGCTTCCAACCCACAGACACAAGGTATCTCTTCATCCATATAGGTGATACTTCTTTCTGTGATGTTTACGGTTTTTCTCTGTAACCTCTTCACTTTCTTGGGTACCAACAATTTGAAGATGGCTTCTGCACGTGTTATGTCTGTGACAGTATCTTTCAGAGCTCTGTGACAAAAAATCCCTGAAAGGAACAACTTGCATGAGTGGGAAAAAATTCATTTCCGTTCACAGTTTCAGAGAGTCTCAGTCCCCTGGGGAGTGGGCAGTGTGGCTGAGTTCTCAACAGCAGAGGTGTGTGCTGGAGGATCCTGGCATCTTGGGGTCTGATCATGACTTCTAAAATCCCCACCCTTCTGAGTCACTTAGCCCCCATGCCTTCTAGCATAGCCGCTAGCTGGGGACTGTTCCAAGCATGAGCCCGCAGAGTCTCCCAGATCTAAACATTTACCCACATTGCAGGCTGTGACTAATGCCGTGCTCTAGAGAAGGCTCCGTGCAGCCCAAGAGACCCTGAAAAAAGGAGAAAATCTCATTCTCGGTTACCCACTTCCCACCATCTACAGAGCCCCCAGGGCTGATGGCTTGAACGAGGACCTACCCCTGTTAACTGAGAATCGAGCAAATGAAGCTGGCCCCACTTAAAACGATTGTATAACTGTCAAAGCCACCCAGCGCAGTGAGCACCAAGCATGGGACTCCACAACCCAAAGGCCGGAGCAATACAGTTTCTGAGTAATCTGATGCGCCATTGGAGGGTGCACCAGCCCAGAAGACAGAAGAATTAAGAGGGGGATTGGTGAGGTGGCTCAGCAGGGAGGGCCTGAGTTTGGTTCCTGAGACCCTTACGGTAGAAAGAGAGAACTGACTTCACAGGTATGGAGTGGCAAGTGTTGGCCCCCGACTCCCCATATCCAAAACAAATAAAATGCAAAGAATTCAGCAGAGGGCAGTCAACACTTGACCTTACTTCCTGTAGAGCTGTCGGAGAACGGGGCTCTGGCCTGAGTCATCTGAGAACATCTGGCCCACAGCTGAGCAGTGAGCCCCTCTCAGGTGCAAGCTTCCCCTGGAGCCTCCCTCTCACACTTCAGGAACAAAAGACCAAGTGTCCTGCAAGCAGGCAGGACCTAGGGACAGGAAAAGGAGGTGCTGGGCAGCTGAGGTCCCAGCCTAAAAAGCTAATGGGTAAACTCCTCCGTGGGGATCTGGGAGAGGGGCAGGGAGGTGGCTGCCACGATTTCCTCAGTGGAAGCACAGGAAAGAAAGGCACTTTGCAGGCAATATGTCACCTAAAGGTCACCTAAGATGATTGTGTGGTGTGTGCATGTGTGTGTGTGTGTGTGCACGCGCGTGCATGCGTGTGCATTTAGAAACTGCACTCTTTAGTCTCTCTGCCTTTTTTGTGGGGGAGAGGGAACAACAACAGGGTCTCTCTCTGAACCCAGAGCTCACTTGTTCCAGTAGACAATCCGCTGGGGGCCCCCTGGGCTCTTTATAGGCCACCACACTTAGCTTTTTAGATGAGTGCTGGGGATCCGAACTCAGGTCCTGATGCTCATGTGGTAGGCACTTTACCCACTCCCAAGCCAACACTTAAAATTTTGAAAATATTTACTTATTTTGTGTGTGTGTGTATTTGTGGGAACGTGGGCATGATCATATCCATGTGTCACACACACATACATACCATGGCGTGAGTGTGCAGGGTGTTAGCATGGCGTGAGTGTGCAGGGTGTTAGCATGGCGTGAGTGTGCAGGGTGTTAGCATGGCGTGAGTGTGCAGGGTGTTAGCATGGCGTGAGTGTGCAGGGTGTTAGTATGGCGTGAGTGTGCAGGGTGTTAGCATGGCGTGAGTGTGCAGGGTGTTAGTATGGCGTGAGTGTGCAGGGTGTTAGTATGGCGTGAGTGTGCAGGGTGTTAGGCATTTGCCTTTCCACCTTATTTGAGACAAGTTCTCTTGCTCGCTTCTATATATGACAGACAACTGACCTTCCAGCTTCTGGGGACTCTCTTGTCCTCATCTGTCTCCTCCTGGGTAGAAGCTGGGATTCCAGGTGTCCTAGCTATATGCTCTCACCTTCTTTGGGGATTTGAACTCAGGTCCTCCCACTTCTGTGGTGCGTATTTTAGCCGCTGGCCTATCTCTCTGCTAACTATTTTCTGTTGCGTTTGACCTTTTACAAAGATTTATTTATTCTTTGTGTGTGTCTGTGTGAGGGTATGCTGTGTGCATGCTGGTATCAGCAGAGGCCAGGGGAGCGCATCAGAGCCCCTGGAAGGGAATTACTGCTTGTTGTGAGCTGCTCAACACGGAGGCTGGCAATGAATGGTTCCTGGAAGAACAGTGTATTAGCTATTTTTCTATTGCTGTGATGAAGCACCATGACCAAGGAGACTCCCAGAAAGATGAGTTTGTCTAGACTTATAATTGCAGAGTGTTAGTGTCAAGATGGCTGAGCAAAGGTGTGGCGACTGGAACAGGGAGCTGAGGTCAAAGGCATACGCCCTCAAAACCCACTACTAGTGACCTACTTCTGCCCGCCAGACAACACTCCCGAACACTGCCACCATCTAGGGGTCAAGTGCTCAAATGCTCAAGATTATGGGGGACGTGTCATTCGGAGCCCCACAGGCAGCGGTGCTCGAAGCTGCTGTCTCCTGAGCCCTTTCTTTAGAATACGTGATGGTTGGGGGCTGGAGAGATGGCTCAGCGGTTAAGAGCACTGACTGCTCTTCCAGAGGACCCGGGTTCGATTCCCAGCACCCACATGGCAGCTCACAACTGTCTGAAAATGTAGTTCCACGAGATCTGACACCTTCACACCAACGAACATAATAAAGTTAAATAAATAAATAAATAATAAAATGTTAAAAAAAAAAAAAAAAAAAAAAAAAAAGAATACGTGATGGTTTGAAATGAGAAATGTCCCCTGCAGACTCAGGCATTTGAACACTCCGTCTACAGTTGGTGGTGCTGACTGGGGAAGTTTAGGCGGTGCAGCCATGCCAGAGAAAGCCCATCATCAGAGACAGGCTTTGAAATGCAAAGCCTCACCTACTTCCTGTTTGCTTTCTCTGCTTTATACTTTTGGCTCAAGATGTGAGCTCTCAACTTCCAGTCCCTTCTTCCACGCTTCCCACCATGATGGCATTCTTATCCTTCTGGAACCCTGAGCCAAAATAAACTCTTATTTATATAAGTTGCCTTGGACATGTTTTTTTGTTGTTGTTGTTTTGTTTTTGGTTTTGTTTATTTGATTGGTTTCAAGACTCTGTGTAGTCCTGGTCATCCTGGAACTCTCTGTAGACCAGACTGGCCTTGAACTCAGAGATCTGCCTGCCTCTGCCTCCCAAGTGCTGGGGTTAAAGGTGTGCGCTGCCACACCAAGCTGGTTATGGTGTTTTAACACAGCAATAGAAAAGTAACTGATACAGAATATTAAGTATGCAGCTTAATTTTTACATTCTTACTCATTATACGTGATCAAGGCATCAAAGCTAGCTCCCTAAAGCTCCTTATCTTGTCCGCGGTCAGCATTCACTGACTCTGTTTTCTATGGTCGTAATAAACATCTGTGAACTTTGTTACTTTAAACAACACCCATCTATTCTGCCAGTTCGGTGTAAAAAGTCCCAGCAGCTCAGCTAGCTGGCAAGCTCTCCTTGGCTGGCCCAGCTCTTGTCTCGTTGCTGTGGGACAGAAGGCACTTCCAGGTCACAGTTGTCGACGGATCTAATTTCCTTCCAGGCTTCCCAGAACATGCCTGTTCATGTGTTCTCTCTCTCTCTCTCTCTCTCTCGTCACCTTTTCTAATTGCCACATTTCTTTCACCTGCAGACACAGAAAGGTCCTACCCAGGTGACCCCTGTGTCCTACGGTCACAGCAGCAGTTCTATCTGCAGAGTCCCTTTGCCCCATGTAGTCAGTCACAGGTGACACTCCGTGGCAGACTCCTGTGCACCCAGGCTGGACAGTCTTTACCCCAGTGTTGGCTGAGGATTTGGGGTGCTCCCAGACCCCAGCTCCTCTCCTGGTCTGGTGTGCTTCCTTCCTCTCTGGCTGTTGCATGGACTCTCGGCTCTGTAAAGCAGCAACAGGGTGGAGCTGGGCTCCGTGAGCACACTGTAGGGAATCCCTAGTAAGCTGCCTTGCTCATCACTCTGGGGTCTTTGGTGCACAGGTGCCAGCCCAGTGTGCAAGCCTGCTTCTTCTCAGTGATTTCCCCCTGGGAAATCCACACAGCCTTCATTCCCAGCTTTCACCAGTCTTCACAGCGGGGCTCCACAGCCTGTGGAACTGGTGTGGGGGAGGCATTTGGAAACACCTGGAAGCTAGTAAAACCCTAGAGCTTGCCGGGTCATTCTGGGGTGAGCTGAGAGAGTCGATGGCGGCAGAGTGACAGTGACAGTGGGCTCAGAAGGGTTCCGGTGCAGCTGAGGCCAGACTCTTGTGGAAGTGGGATTCAGGGTGTTCACACCAGTCTGTAGAGATGATACTGAGGATGTCCACGGGCGTATTAGCCACTCTCATACTCCTTCTGGCCCATGTTTCTCAGGACAAATGGCTAACGGTGGTGCCTATCAGCACACCAAGGCACCGCTGGCCTCCAGGGCCCCTCGGTACCTGTGTCTCCTCTCTGCTCTTGTCACCCCGCCCCTACCCTAAACTTCTCCAGCTCATGGGCTTCTCTTCCCCTGTTCTCATTCCTATGTAACCTGCCATTCCAGCTACGCACTGTCTTTGCTCCTCCCCCCATGGCCCAGCTCAGTTTATGGGCATGTTTAGTGACCACTTCCTGTCCCTGCTCTGTCTGTGCTCTTTCAGATGTCTCTGGCTGTTCTCTCCCTCATGTTTACAATAAAAACCTTCTCCTGAACCATACCTTGGAACGGTCATGTCCTCAATTTATACAACATTATAACTTAAAGATGGCCCCTAAGCACCCCTTTTTACTCATATATAACCTTTGATATATATATATATATATCCCACAATATATATATCCCACAATATCTTTATTATTTATATATATAATATTTATATATATATTTATATATATTTAATATATATATATATCCCACAATATCTTTAATCACCAACTTACACTTCTAAGAACATTGACAGTGCGATGCCCAGTCTGTACCCACCACTCATCTCCAGATCTCTCCTCTTGCAAGTTCAAATTCCACCCTGAGACACTACCCCTCGCCTTGCTCCTCCATCAGCTCCGAGCGACCTTTGTTTTTCTGCGCTAGGCTTTCTTCATATAGAGAAAGCCCACCGCATCTTTGTCTTAGAGAGGGGGGAGAATCGGTAAGCCAGACATTTTAAGTGTTTATATAGAATGTAATTAATCAAAGTATCTTTTCCCTCTTTGTCTGTCTGCCAGGATCCATCTGACTCATGGCCCCTGAAATCCACGTTGAAGCATGTATTAGAATTTTCTCCTTTAGGGTGGGTGACACTGTGTGCCTAGGTCTCATTCAGAACATTGTTCCCATCACAGGACACAGGGGTCCCTGCTCTGGCTACTGTGAATAGAGCTGCGTGCTGTTGGTCTCCATGTACCTTTCTGAGAGCCTGTGTGGCAGCCATCTCTCTGTCGCTGTAGGACAGAGACTCTGTCACCACCAAGTCCCGAGGCTGTACACTTCATAAAGAGCTCTATGTAGCTCATAGCTGTGATGCTTAGCATTGAGTTCACTGTGATGAGGGCTTCTCGGTACATGATGTCACTGTGGGAGTCTGCTGGAGAGGGTCTAATCCCCAGACAAGCCAGAGAGGGATTTGAGGAGAGGCCATTATGGTGGCCACAGGCTTCATCTCCTGAAGGTTCCACAATCTTGTGACATTGTCACCTCCCTAATACCTGGGCTGCCACCTACTCTGGGAAACGGCCTCTCTTCTCAGTAAGTTCTTCCAGTAAATGTTCTCATAGACCGCCCAGAAGAAGGGCTTTTAGTTGATTCTGGATCCAATCAAACTGATGAACGAGATTAAGCTGCAAAGGAGGCACTCATCAACATGTTCTTATCTGAATCTTTAAAACTGACTTTCACTGCGATTTTAATTTGCATTTCCTAAGGCAATGGACACCTTCTTTAGTGCCATTTGTCTCAGGTTTATCTTTCGAGAAATGTTTGCTCTTAGTTCTTTGCTCCTTAAATCAGGCTGGTTGGCTCTGCATTGCACAATAATAATGTGTTGTGTTGTTTTGTTTCGTTTGTTTTTGTGTAAACCTTCTATGGTAGTTTGAATATAATTGGCCCTCATAAGCTCATGGGAAATGCCACTATTAGGAGTATATATAGCCTTGTTGGAGGAGGTGTGTCACTGTGGAGATGGGTTCCCCCGCTGATCAAGATGTAGGACTCTCAGCTCCAGCACCATGTCTGCCTGCATGCCGCCAGGTCCCACCATGATGATAATGGACTAAACCTCTGAACTGTAAGCCACTCCGTTAACTGCCTTCCTTATGAGGGTTGCTGTGGTCACGGTGTCTTGAGGAAGCCCTATGGTTTGGGTCTGCACTGAGGCCGCTGTCGGGATCTTTGGTATTCCTCAACTGCAGGCCAGATTGCTCCCTGCCACCCAGGACACTCCATGACTTTCCCCAAGAGCCAGGGAGTAGGCAGCTCGCTGTCTTCGGGGCACATATCTCTCTCTAGAAAAATCTGATGGTACTCTCCTCAGAGTGGGAAAGTCGGCCAGAGGCCCCTCCTGCTTCCCCAGAGGTGCACAGATAGGCTGGCCCATAGCCATCTAAAATGATCTTGTCCAGGAGCTGGAGGGAGGACCCAGGCTGTTCCTGACACTGCTGTGAGGCCTTGGGGCTGCTTTGTGCAAGCCCACTTGGTCTGCAGTGCTGGCTTCCTTCTCACAGGTTCGTCCCTTGGAATCTGAGCCCACAACTCAGAAGTGCAACCTCAGAAAAGCCTTGCTGTGTATACCACAGGAAGGCTGCAGCCAACTGCACGGGTCAGCCCCAGCCACCTGGGAAGGCTGCAGCCAACTGCACGGGTCAGCCGCAGCCGTTCGGGAAGCCTCCTAGCAGACAAATTGACGTAGAGCTGTGATTCTCAAACTCTGTAGACTATAATGAGCCAGATTCGGACCAAAGGAATTCAGAAGGAAAACTGAACGGGGACCTTTTTAAAGGGCATTTTAGTTAATAGAATTTTCTAGCTCCATCAGGTGGCACAGGCTTGTCATCCCAGCTATGTGGGAAGCTGAGGCAGGGGGATCACAAGTTCAAGGCCAGCTCCATGAATTTCCCTTACAAATGTTTAAGCTGGATGAGAACACCAGAGAACTATTGGCCATTGCAGGGCAAGTTGACAGGACCCCAGGATGGTCCGTGAACCCCGCCTCGTGGCTAGCTCTTCATGGTTGCTCCTGGAGTCGTGTGTGCACTCAAGGCCCTAGTCCCTACCATACTGCAACTTCTGTGTTCTCAACAGTTGCTGTCACCAACGTTTTGATAAATGTCTTAGGAAACAAAACTAATTTAGTGGTAAGAAAGCAGAGACTAGTGTCAAAGGATGGCAGTGGAATTTGAGGCTCCTGCTCCACTCCTTCACCCCTGCTCCTCCTCCACCCGCCCTGCTCCCCTCCTCCACCCGCCCTGCTCCCCTCCTCCACCCCTGCTCCTCCTCCACCCGCCCTGCTCCACTCCTCTACCCGCCCTGCTCCCCTCCTCCACCCGCCCTGCTCCCCTCCTCCACCCCTGCTCCCCTCCTCCACCCCTGCTCCCCTCCTCCACCCCTGCTCCCCTCCTCTACCCACCCTGCTCCTCCTCCACCTGCCCTGCTCCACTCCTCCACCCCTGCTCCCCTCCTCCACCGGCCCTGCTATCTCCTCTCACTCTGTGCTTGTGCTTTTCATTGAAGATTCTCATGACCAAGCTGAGATTGAGTCTACATCCCCACTGGCCTGTAGTGGAAAGTGGTTTAAAATATTCCACCACTCATGACTTCTCACCCACACGCATACAAATTGGATTCTGACTTGGTTATTAAAAAGAAAAAAAAAGGACGTGAAATTGTGGTGCGTGTGCATGTTGGGATAGAAGAGGTTTCTCTAGATTACAAAATGGATGAAATAATCCCTGGCAGTGGCCTGCCTGTGAAGACAGATCTGCATTTACGACTCAGTGCTCAGCATAACCAGGAAAGCTCGCACACACTCCTTCTGTAACGGGTAGTATTTCTAAACCGCTGGTGGTGGTCTCAGTGAGAATGGCCTCTGCAGCCTTACATTAGAACAATTGGAACTGTTTAGGAGAGAGCATGAGGCGTGTCCTTGTTGGAGGCTTCAAAAGTCTGCCTCATGAATGTAAGCTCTCAGCTACGGCTCTAGCACCATGTGTGCCAGCCTGCAACCATGGTCATGTACTCTAACCCTCTGCAACTGTAAGTGCCAAATTAAACTTGCTAAAACAAGTTACCTTGGTAACTTTATTTCTTGCAATAGAAAAGAAATTAAGACATCCCCACTTATCTTTTTAAAAATCACTTCCTATCCCCAAGAGATTCCAACCTGGAAAACTTTCCCATGCATTTCCGGACCACGTCACGAAGAGAGGCAACCCTCGGCACTTATTTGCTTGGACTATGGAAAGGAACAGACTTTGGTTCCCAAACCATAGTGTCGGACTTGGGATGGGTAAGGTCAAGGGTGCGAAGAGCGAATATCGAGGGGATGACAATCGCCTTTCCACTTTTGGCGAAACCCTAACACCCCAGAGGCAGGGGCAGGCAGTTCAAAGCCAGGATGGTCTGCATATTAAGTTTCAGGCCAGCTGAGGCTATATAGAGACCTTCTCCCCACCCCCAATCCGAAAGACTCATCACTTATCCGGCTGGCATTACCCCAGCTCCAGCGAAGCTACTAGCTTATTGGAGAGTAACTGTTTACACATTGTGCTTGGGGAGGGGGGGGGGGGAGCAAGGGTAGGGCAAGAAGCCAAGTGAGGCCATTGTCATAGACCGGGTAACATGAGGAGTAAAAATGCCTTTGGTAGGTCAAATAGTGCATGCAATCCCAGTGCCTGGGAAGGCAGGGAGTCTTGAGTTCAAGGACGCCAGGGTAATACAGTAAGACCCTATTTTTATCTTTAAAAAAAAAAAAAAAAGCCTTGGGGCTGGAGAGATGGCTCAGCGGTTAAGAGCATTGCCTGCTCTTCCAAAGGCCCTGAGTTCAATTCCCAGCAACCATCCGTAATGAGGTCTGGTGCCGTCTTCTGGCCTGCAGGCATACACACAGGCAGAGCATTGTATACATAATAATTTTTTTTTTTTTTTTATAAAAAGCCTCTTGTATGCCTTCATGGTGACATTTCCCCAGGTGACTGGGTGCTGATCCACAGTGGCGTTTGATCCCTCTTCCCGAGAGAATTGGGTCACCCATCCCAGCACTTTAGATGGCACAGGGACACACTTTTCTTTTAAAGACTTCTTACGTGTGTGCGTGTGTGTGATGCATGTGTACAGCTGCCTGTGGAAGCCAGAAGAGGCCATCAGATCCTCTGGAGTTGGAATTACAGGGCGTTGTGAGTCGCCCCATATGGGTGCTAGGGATCGAACTTAGGTCCTCTGGAAGAACAGCTGGTGCTTTTAACCACTGGGCCAGCTCTACCAGCTGGGTACCTATGCTCAGTTGGCTTTCGACCTCCTTCCTAATGAACACAGCTCATTAGCACCCCCGAGTGCTGACACACACAAACCTATGCTTGCAGGGTGGGATGCAAGCACATAAGCGGCTGGGGCTTGGAGAACTGTACTGAGTTTAGATTGTAGACTGGAAAATGGAACTTTAGGGAGCTGGATATATGGTCATACTTTTTACAAGGATCCAGGTGAAAGCCTGGAGAACTGACTGAGAAGCCAGGAAGCCTGTTTTCCTCACAACTGAGATGAATGCATTAGCAAGCTCCCAAGAGGCCAAGGTCAGTCATGTACCTTCAGACTCACCGGTGCCATGAGAGCGAACCAGGTAGGTACAGAGGCAGTACTGGGAAGTCATTTAAGCTGATGGGTGGTCAGGGCTTCCCAGAAGGGTGCTTAGATCATGACCAAGGGGAGAGCTGGGGCAGAGTTTGGGCAAGCATCTGAGACAGGAATGAGCTCAGCTGTCAGGGCAGGGTGCAGCCAGGGTTCAGGGAGAGGCAGGTGGAGAGGAGCAACTCAGAGCTCAGAAACTGGCTGGTGACGCTGTCCCCAAGGGAACATGATACAGCAACAAGGGTTTCTGAGCAGTGTGGTTAGAACAGGGTCCGGGGTCGGTGATAACTGACCCGGAAGAGGAAGGACAACTGGAGTGTCGCCTCCTTTCAAAAGGTTTTTCTTTCTTAATTAGAGCAGCAGCTCTCAACCTGTGGGTCATGACCCCTTGGGTGGGATGACAAACGACCCTTTCACAGGGGTCGCAGATCAGATATTTATATGACGATCCCTAATAGTAGCAAAACTTCAGCTATAAAGTAGCAAGGAAATAATTTTATGGTTGGGGTCACCACAACACGACGAACCGCATTAAAAAGTCAAGAGTTAGGAAGGTTGAGAACCACCACTCTAAAGTATATTCATCACACAAAACTGTGTGTGTGTGACAATGGCTCACTCTGTAGACCAGACTGGCCTTGAACTCAGAGATCCGCTTGCATCTGCCTTCAGATAGCTGTGGTTAATGGTGATTGTACCACTGCTGGCTAAAATATAGCCAAAATTTATGACACATCCTAATGTGTCGTACAGTTCGGTTGGTAATCTCAAGGGCTTTGGCAGGTGCCACTCAGCCCCGGTCACTCTTCTTACCACACAGGCCTGCTGACTTGACCGTGGTGGTGAGAAACAAGCGTCTGCTGTACTCCAACCAGATTATGGGCAGAAATAGCTGTTGGAATTAGTGACACTTTGGGATGCACACAGGGTAAGAAAGGGGTCAGCTAGATATGAGCTGGGCTGCCGCTGCCTGGGGCTGGACCCTGCCCTGCCACTTCCCATGTGACTTTGGACACAATGCCCACTCCATGCTTTAGCTTATGTGTTTAGTAAGGGGACACGGTAAGGGCTAGGACCAGTTTCTCTCCTTGAAGTGATCACACTATCCTGCCACCGTGTCACAGACCCAGAGATACAGCCTGGGTCAGGGTCAAAGGGCCAGAGCACAGGGGACAGTCCCATGAGCCCCAAGGTCTCCAGCCAAGTGCTGCTGCTGTGTATTAAATGGGTTTCTCAGTTTAGGGAATGTGCCAGTTACCGGGGCCAGCAGAGGCAGCTGAGGGACACCACATAGGACGGAGCAGTGTTGGCTTTCACCCTGAGGGAGAGCCTCGTGTGGGAAGTGGAGTCAGGCGGCAGCAGAGTAAAGAGCAGGCAGACAGAAGGTGGGAGCTTATTCCGGGTTACCATGGAGAAAACTTGGGATTTTTGGGGGGTGGGAGAGGAGGAGAAAGCATTAAAGATTTAAGATCCTAGGCAGGAAAAGGCTCACGCTGTGAGAGAGGAGACAAACCTCATAGAGACAAAGTGGTAAGGTCAGGTGCAGGGCACAGAGGGGTTCACCTGAGAGCTGAGGACAGAAAGAGGCCAAGGCTCACACATTTGTGAGTCTACCAGAGGATCCCACTCTCCCCAGGACTCAGGGAGTGGCTGAGAAACCACTAGTGAGGGATGGTTGAAGGCCAGTCCAACAGCAGAAGCCTTCCACACAGTTAAGGTGAAGAAAGGAATCGGGTGGCAGAGGCCAGGGAAGCAGGCACCCCAGGAGGGTTCAACTGGTCAGCGGAGCTAGCATATACGCAAGTGGGCAGCAGGGGATGAAGAGGAGCTGGCTGCCAGCCAGAATAGGTGGAGTCACCTACCTCCCAGCTCCTGGACAGCCTTCCAGGACAAGTGCTGTGGCTTCTCCTTCTCTTTCCCTATTAGAGCCTGGGCTTCAGGCAAGAAAGAAAGATCCACAGGCAGCCAGGTGGTGTTTCTCTCTTTTATTTAAAAACAGTGCTTCATTACCGTCTGCAAAGGCTGAGGCAGGGCCCCTCCTCTGCTTAGAGTTTATAAAAGCCAGCAACATGATC